CTGCAGGGATTGGCTCTCTTAATCTGCAGGGATTTCAGATTTATCCGACATCAATGACTCCACTTCAATACATTCGGATAATCCATCTCAGCCAAACTTCTCATCATTGGTTAGTATTCTCTTTCAAATCTCAAAGTTATCTCGCTTTCCCTCTAAAACCCTTCATATAGGTGTAAGTGTCTATCGAATTTGCACATTCTCCAATGTAAGTGTACGGGAATCTGCATGTCATTTTGAAGGATGTTAATATGCAATGGTATTAACCTTGCTTTGTGAATTTGATAACACTAAAGAGGTATTAGTTGTGTCTATTTTGTGAATTAGCGCCCTTTTTTGACCTTTAAACTTTATAGTTAATCATTTTGGTATGTTATCTTCTTGAATTATGACTCAATGACTCTCTAATTTGGTTAATCATTTTCTTCAAGTTATATTTTATGGCATGGCTATGATTCAATGTTTTTGACATAAATGTCCAAATGACACCTTGCTTGCTCATGCTGAATCATTAACATTATGAGCAATAAGCTTAGATGCCAACTTCTGCAAAGCAATGCAAATACCTTTAACTTTCATCCGTAGTTCAATATCCCGCCTTCTTAACATCCTTAGAGCTTCTTGGTAGCATTATGCAGGAGAGGTAAAGTACACCCAATAAAATTGATGCTGAAAGAAAAATATTTTTAAAGCATGTGGAGGCAAAGTACACTCAATAATAAGCCAAGAAAGGAAAACAATTAAGGTGGAATTGCAATATTTCTCTTCTTTTAGGTTCCCAAGAAGTTCACTCTTAGTCTACGTTCAATTTTTAATCAAAGCTTCATAAGAAGTTTTGTCTTCTACTACTCAAAAGAAAATTGCAGCAACTATGCCCTTTTTTACATAAGTCATAAGATTTTCATAATAAATTTCAACCATTTTTAGAAGAGGCCTCATGAAACATATTCCAAAGGATGATATGTTTACCTATTTAATATTCCAGATAATCAACTGTGTGATGAGAATCAGGGAACTAATTACTACATAGGAAGAAATCAAGATGGTTACATTTGTCCTTGATACCAAGACCTGAGAAATGTCTTCAATTCTTATACTACGAACGGAGTATTTGATAATAGTGAAATGATGGATGTAACAAAAAAATATCTGACATTTGTCGCACATGAATTTTTTATCCCTCTCCCAGGAACACTCTAGCCACCATTCTTAATATGTTTGTTTCCTTACAAGGATGTGTGGTTGTTGATGATGCCTCAAGTAATATTAATTCTTCTTGATTTATATTTGGGGTGCTACTCCTTAATCTGTTTGTTTATAGTTATAGTGACCTCTTGAGCTTTTTTTTGTCTATAGGTTTTTTAAAAAAACTCTTGATTGCTTATTACTTTTTTAAAAAAGTTTTGTCTTATAGAAACCACCTCTAAATGTAGTGGGAATGTTTATGGTTTATCTGCTGAGACATCATAGTTATAGTTCGCTCAGATAAATATACCACTTTCATTATTTTTTTGTTTTTGCTAAATGCATTAGGAGTCCGTTTAGCTTGGCATTAGAGTAGATTTCATGGCCATTTTCTGTTGCCATTTTAAACAAACAACCTGCTATGAGTGGAATGAGTATTTGAACAAATGAATCCCTGTTTTGTCAGTTTGATTGTATTGAGGGTTGGGTATGTGTATTTATTATCGATATATATGGTTTTTGTGGTTCAAATGGTCGAGTATGCTATTCTTATATGAAATGCATTTGGAAGAATGATTTTAAGCATACAAGTATGTCCAAGCCTAAAAAAATAAATAAAAAAACAAGTATGTCAAAGCTTACTTATTTCGAATGTGCCAGTTAATGCTACAAGACATGTCCATAATAATTCTAGGTACACCTATACAAATCTATTTGAACAACATATTTATTGTGCAGATTAAATGATGTGATTGGTCAAGTTTAAACAAGGGCTGCATGGGGCTCCCAGAGATCATTATTTGTTGACATTCAAGAAAATGTGCAGCACCTTGGACAAACGATTCTCAAATATTTGGGCTAATCGGTATCTTTTGTAATTCATTTCTTTTTAGAACAAATGAACAATAGGGTTTTGTATAGTTATACAAAGCTGAAAAACAATATCTCTTAAACACACTTTATGAGAGGAAACAAAACAGTGAAAAATGATGTTTCTTCTCAGGTAGCACAGGTAAACCAAAACATTTTTTATTCTAATGTACAAAGAAGTATTAAAGTCAATTGGAAAATTAAAACTTAATGCAGTCACATGTAAAATATCAGCTAGATGGAGCAACACAAAACTACATATTTAATAGGTAGTCTTAGAAATCTTAGAAAACAAATGAAATAACAATAGATATTATCCTCTTTATTCGTATACGCTGTACAATTCACAATGGTTTTGATTATATATATGGATTTAATGAAGGGCTTTAAGCAAGCGCCTATTACTTTTACAGACTCCCACTCAACAGAAATCGATGTTATTTGTACAGACTCTCCCACTTAACTGAAATCGATTCTCATCAGACCCTGATTCGGTTCTATCCAAGAAGCATGCTTCTGAAGACAACATGAAAATGATGGTAGCGAAGAGAACTCTGCCAACAAAAAGCTAAAGGATGCTAAGATTGAGATGTGACTATGATTTTCAGGAGTTTTGTTTTAAATTTATTACCTTTATTGATATGCATTTTCATTCATGGGATTCATGATGTACATGATTTTATTTTTTTATGTTGCTTTGAGTAAGCTCAGACCATTTATTACTTTAACAAGAATTTCATAAATACTTTTTTCATAGAGTGTTATTAATATTAAATTCACCAGAGTACCATAAGAGGTTTGTATTCACTATTGGAAAACTACTTATGAATGACAATGTTAGTATGTTATATGTAATGTACATTAGTTTAACATAGATAGAGTAAGTGGGAATTAAAATTGTGAGTCTATAGATTTTTAAATTGCTCATTAATGACTTAGTTAAGAAATAACTAGATAGCTATGATTTCCCTATGATACAACGAAAAGAAGATTTTAGCTAATGTTATGAAAGCGTGAATAAGCAGATTTAAAAAAAAAAGAAAATTTAATTCTTATTACCAAGTTTATCCTTAAAAGAACATGAGGTTTGCAAAGATGACCGGTGAGCCGGATGAACTAACTATTCAATCCTTTGCCTATTGGATTTTAAAGATTGAGGATTGTGCTTTTTCAAAAACTCAAGATGGATAATCACTTCTCGATAAATCGGATGATATGATTGCTCCAATGGCATTCGATCTGGTTGAATCTATTGTTCAAACTATTTATCATGATTTTTAACTCAAATTCATCCAATCATAGAAATTCTCTCTTGACTTGAGTTGAGATTGAGCACATGTGACCCTTTCCTCTTTACCCGTTGTGCATATTGCATTTTTGGTCATCGAGGACGATGCCAAAGGTTAAGTGTGGGGGAGTGAATTGGGCATTCGGGCAGTAGTTGTCACATGGGATTACTATAGTTTGTCACACATAAAGGGGGAGTCCCTTATCACCATCAAACTAGTGGCCAAGTTGAGAATTTGAACAGGGACATTAAGACCATCCTTGAAAAGACTGTTGAGACCCATAGGAAGGATTGGTCTGATAAGTTAGACGATGCGTTGATTGGTTTCCTCAGTTTGGGCTTCTGTGTCGCTAGGATGGGATCTCTCAGACTCCTCAGATTGAGCTCCTGCCAGCTGATTCATCAAGCTATTTATATCCTGTATTATGGCTGAAGTCCTCTACATGATACTCTCTTGAAGTTGGCTTTGATATGGAACTTGAATCGTGTTCTTTGGATGCTTCTACAAAAAGATCTTTTTGTCATTTAAATAGATCCTCCCATTTTTTTATCTTTAGTCAAGGGCTACTATTTTTCCGAGCATAGATAAGGTTGATAAGGTCAACAATAACATGTTGGGTAAAATAGATTCGAGTTAAAACTTATCTAAATCCAGATTCAACTTCTTCATCTAACTCAGATAGGGGCCTCTTACACGAGATACATTCTCCTGAGTTTCTAACTAGAATTAAATGTTCATGTTTTCCGAGTCTTGGATTAAAGCTGAAATTAGGGGGGGGGGGGGGGGGAGTTATGATGCTAATGAGAAATATAGATTATTCATATGGATCGTGCAACGACACACGACTTATGGTTACTAAATTTGGAGCTCATAGTATCGAGTCTCATATGACATAGGAGAAAATGCCGATGAAAAATTTCTTATTCCTCGATTTATTTTAACATCATTACACGTTAACGGATAGCTATGTAATGACCATTAATAAGAGTTTGGGAAGGTCATTGGAAAAGGTTGGAATCTTCCTCTGTTGGTTTTGTTTTTACGAATGGACAATTTCACGTGATGGTCTCGAGAGAAACACGTCCATCAAAGTTAAAGTTTGTAATATGTGATGAAGAAGAATAACCAACCTCATGAACGTTGTATATAAAAAGTTTATAGTAATTTGTAGTTTTCCTTGATAATTTCATGGATATACATGCACACCTATTTTATAGCATGATGATTCATATTTAATTTCGAAAATTAATTTTTAATACCTTACTCCCTATATATCGAAATGTTTACTACATTATGGTTTGACACAACATTTAAAAAAATAATCGGGATAATGAATTTACCAAAAATGGAAAGTATAACAAAATTTGAATACATCTCAAAATGAAAGTATAACAAATATTTCAATACAGTTGGAATATTAAATATGACTTCTTATTTTGTTTTATGTTTTCAATTAATTGATTCATTATCAATTTCTCTTTTACTTTTTATATATTCCATTCAAAATTTTATGTATGTGCTTCACTGCCGTGTAACTGGTTTTCTATAAAAATACGTATGAATACGTATAATACTTTGAGTGAATTATACATTTGAGTGTGGTTTGAATTATAAGGCCGAATAAACTAACAAATCCCTTGCTTAATTGGGTCCGCGCAGTGATAAATAGTACTCCCTGGACAAGGTGCGTTAATTCTTTCTCCAGACGCTTAGGATCGAAATGGACGTCATTACGCAATCGCAGCAAGTATCTCGGGCGATCGAGAAGGTGATTGTCCACCCACTTGTTCTCCTTAGCGTCGTCGACCACTTTAATCGCGTTGCTCGAGACACTAAGAAGCGTGTCGTCGGCGTCTTGCTCGGAAGTTCATCCAGAGGCACCGTCGATGTTACCAACAGCTACGCAGGTCAAGATCTGATACCCCCTTTTTCCCGACTATTTCTCAATTGTGGTTTGTTTTTGTTCATGAGCTTGGACGGCTGTAACGATTTAAATCGATTGGACAGCTGGGATATAATTTAGCCGAGTCTCTTTGATAGTGAAGGCCCTAGGATGAGATTACCAGTTTAGGATTATGTATTAGAAGTGTAATAGTATTCATTTAGTATTTCCGGAACAGCATTTTGGCAACTTTATGTAGTTGAGATGGAGCACTGAACCCTAATCTCATGTATGGTAGTTAAAGAGCTACTGCTATTGGTTGCCTGAAATTGTTGGATTCTACTGCTTATTAATATGTTTCTAGGCTTATAAAGCCGATTGTATTGGTCTTGACATTGATGCACTGTCTCATTTTGAACATCTGCTTATGCATTCAGTGCCTTTTGAAGAAGATGACAAGGATCCAAGCATCTGGTTCCTTGACCATGACTACCATGGGTCAATGTTTTCCATGTTCCGTAGAATAAATGGTATCCTGCCTGTTTAACTTCTGAATGTATTAACGAATTATGTATCGACTTCGTTGTACATTGTTGAATTCATTCGTCGTATTTTTCAGCTAAGGAGCATGTTGTTGGATGGTACAGCACTGGTCCCAAACTACGGGAAAATGACCTTAACATCCATGCACTCTTCAATGAGTAAGTGTTTTCCCCCTTAATTTCCCAGTGTCTGTATACTGTAAGTTAGCTTTGGCTTGCACAATTTAAAAAAAAAGTCACTTTTGATACACAGAAAGGCGTTACTTAGAAATGCAACTTTTATTAGAGCTGTAATATTATTATCTAAGAAATGCATACTGGTACGGTTGCAGCTATGTTCCCACTCCAGTCTTGGTTATTATTGATGTCCAGCCTAAAGAGCTTGGCATACCTACTAAAGCATACTATGCTGTTGAGGAGGTCAAAGAGGTAACAACATAAACACTTTTACCTTCTTGTTTAAGGGAGAAAAATAAACTGATGAGAAAAGATGTATTCTTTCAGTTTGTCTATATGTGCAATTTATAGCCATCACTGTTTTTAAGATGCCTTATTGTTAAATGGTTGTACAAATATGCAGAATGCAACTCAAAAGAGTCAGAAGGTCTTTGTACACGCCCCTTCAGAAATTGCTGCTCATGAAGTGGAAGAGATTGGTCTGTTCTCTTATCCCAGCTTCTGTATTTTTTTACTTTATCCGGTTCGAATGGGTTTTTGTTGCTCTACCACTGTGTGATAGCATTAACATTTGCATTGAATTTTTCCATCTTATGTCAGCATTTCCACTTCTCTTTCTTATTATATATAGGAGTCGAGCACTTGCTGAGGGATGTCAAAGATACCACAATCAGTACTCTTGCAACAGAGGTACTTTCTCAACTTGTTTCTTTCTATCTGTATGGAAAAGTAAAAGTTAGTACTCTTATCTCTTGCATGTTTTGAGTTGGAAGAAAAACACTCAAGTAAGCTCATTGTTTGTTCCAATTGCTTTTCAGTTCTGTCATTAAAGTCTAATGGTTTCCAATTTGCATTTACTAAGCTTTAGTAAGTTTTGGCTCTCATCTGAACTTTTGGGGCAAGCCTGGTATGGCTTCGGCAACAAGACTCCCACGTTAGCAATTATAATATTAATATAGGAAAAGTGGAAAACATATTGAAGAGGAAAAGCGGTTCCAGAATAATAAACAAAATGAATAGAATTAGAGGCAAAAGTATCACTTTTTGTGGCTAGAACTTGTAGCATAGATTCATACTCAAGCTTTCTGTGTACATGGAAGAATATGAAATTTCAAACTTTCATGATAATTGTAAATAATGCCACGTAATCGACTAATCATTACGCAAATAAAGGTTTAACAAGCGTTTAATCATTGATACCGGGCCATTTTTACTCCATTTGGTGTACCGCCTTCTCTGACATTGTAGTGTGTTGTTTGACTGAAAAGTGGCAGTAGTATTCTTTTTTCTCATGTCATCTTCATTTCATTAGATCCAGATATTTAGTGCAGACTAAAATTTTACTCTCCCTGTACCTGAAAGAGGCCCCCTTTCCTTTTCCGTTTCTCACAAGTTTTTTGTCTTTAAGAAAGGAATGGTATGGCTTAATTTTTTTTCACTTTAATTTCTAACCACACATTTCCATTGTTATTCAGAAGTGTGGCGGGTCAAATGGCAGTCTTTTTTGGGACAATGGTTTTTTTAGTTTCAGTAAGCAGGACTATTTAAATTAAGATGTGGTGTGCACTGATGTTTAATTTAATATGAACTTTTTGGCATTGATGTATTAAGGAATATTTACAAATTTATCCCTATTTTTCTAATTCACAAGCTTATCCTAATCTTTTGCGTTGGTGACTAGTGATCTATAGAACTAGTGGTTAATCATTACTCCTTAATTTATGCATTAAGGAATATTTACAAATTTATCCCTATTTTTCTAATTCACAAGCTTATCCTAATCTTTTGCGTTGGTGACTAGTGATCTATACTCCTATGCTCTTTGAAATGTCACCTGTGCATTTTACAATCACATATTACCGCAATTTTTTTTATTTTGAATGGATAAGACATCCTTAAAAAGCTTCTCTGAACAGAAAAGTAAAATCAGGAACAAATCTACCATTTAGGACTAGCTTCAAATCATTCATACTTTGGGTATAATTGAATGTAAAGTACAGTTAGTTTGGGAAAAAAATTATTTTCTTTGACTAAAATAAAGAGATAAAACTGAAGGTTTTCTACAGGTAACTGGGAAACTTGCTGCACTAAAGGGGCTAGATGCTCGCCTCATAGAGATCCGGTCTTACCTTGAACTTGTCATTGATGGAAAACTTCCATTGAATCATGAGATTTTGTATCACTTACAGGTAAACCAATAGCAGTAATGGGGTTTGCATGTATACTTTATTTCACCAAATTGTAACCTCCTTGCGTTGCGAGTATGTGAGCCACCCAACCAGAAAAGAAATGCATCCTTCTGACTTGTTTCAATATCCTTGCAGTGGTTTCATTTGTTCATTGTTTTGTTCTATAAAGCAGTCCATTCTTAATATGTTGAATTTTTTAATTTCTGATTGTAGGATGTCTTCAACCTGCTTCCTAATCTTAACGTGGCTGAGTTAATCAAATCCTTTGCAGGTGAAATAACAAAATACCTAACACTTCTGGAAGATAGAGTAAACATTTATATATCCACTTTTAATCAAAATTGATTTGTTTTTGTTGGTGCAGTTAAAACAAATGATATGATGTTGGTCATATATTTGTCTTCTCTTATCCGAAGTGTGATTGCTCTTCATAACTTGATCAACAACAAGGTATATTCTGTATTGCTATTAATACTTTTGTTATTGTTACAGTTACTACTAAAATTACTGTTAGGTGTTATTTTGGTCTATTTTATCTGGTTTTCTGTATTATTTGGATACCAATGGGGTTAAAACCTCTAGCCTCTTTAAGTTGGTTATTTCACTTGACTCAAATTATGATTGCTTTGGCTGTTAATGAATTATGATAATGATAATTTGGATGGGGTGATTATCAGCTGCTTAACAAGGAACACGAGAAGGCAGAGGACTCGAAGCCTATTGCTGTACCTGCTGCAGCTGGAAGCTAAGGAACAAAAACAACTTGGTGGAATTTGGCTATGTGATAGGCACTATATCATTTAGTGTACCAAGTGTGACATCATAACTGATCTCACCCTTCTCATTTTCGAAATCTCAAATTGTTGAATCTTCTAAATATTAATACAATTGATAGAATTGAGCGACCCTGTCTCAGATTTTGTCAAGGCGTGTTTTATTCTTTGGGGGCATGGAGAAAAGCGTGAACTTCATTACTTTTGAGTGACCCTGTCCCTGTAGTGACAAGTTTTACGTAAAATAGTTTGGTCTCGTCAGTCAGTATATCATTAGAAGCTTATATGGAGTGATTGATGATCTGCTTAGCTGTTGTTTTACGCTATTAAGATACTTTGTGAGCCGTGCTTCATGTAATCATGTTCATGTACACGTTTTAAATTACTCCGATTTAAATTAAACATAATTAGTTGGAACATAATTTAATTAGGTACACTTTTCTTTAATCTAATAAATGCTGTGGAATGTGGAGGGATAAATGGATAATAATAATAGCTCTATAGGAACTCATCCCATATTCCCATATTCCTAGAATCTCCCATGTGATAACCTAGGCCGGGTCGGGCTCCGGGGCGGGATTGGGTTTTAGGGATGAAGGCCCGGTATCGGCTTGGGCCTTTTATTTTTGAAATCTAGTTTAAAAATTAATTCAAAAAGTGCTAGACAATAAAAAGTTAAAGTATATGTATTTGAAATATGAACAACATTGAGAAAATTTTAAAACATTAAATACATTTTCTAAAAGTCAGTCGGAATCTCCGAAACCGTCGGTTGTTGTTTCTTCCATGAAGTGGTGGGTGGTGATGATGCTAACTTCTTGAGTTCTACGCTCAGCTTTCAACCAATTGTGGAAGGAAACAAGCGTTTCAAAAGATTGTGCGCTCAATCTTGTTATAATCCGTTAGGACGTTGCTGGCCGCACTAAATTCTTGTTCCACGACAACTGTTGATAACGGCATTGCTAGTACTTGCTTAGCCATCTTTGGTAAACCCGTAAATGTTCTTTCTTTGTCCTTCCACTATTGCAGAACGTTAAAGCCATCCTCGTATTCATAGCCAATATGAAACGTTAGATATAAAGAAAGCTCGTAATCGAGCTCTGTGCAACAGCAGCGGGAGTTGGTTTACTTTTTTGCATAAGATTACCAAATGTAGATTTTTAAAATGATTTTCCTTTAGATGAAGAATATGTTCGTGTCGGAGGAGGGACTACGTTACCATATTATGCATGAAACTCATTATATAATTGATGAAATAAGTTACTAACCTCGTTATATTACTCTTTAAGATCTATGGGCTTATCTTCGTACATAGGAAATGGACCAAAAAAGAAGCATGATAGTACTATACACATTGTTGAAAAGCATTAAGTTTGAAACGAGGATTAAGAATAAATGCAAACCATACATATGTGGAATATGTGAATAATATTTAAAAACTTTTTTTCATGAAATCACAAAAATGATGAACGTAAGGGGCATCGAAAAATACAGAAAAAGCACTGGAGGGATTAACAGCTTCAACCAAAAATTGGTCTGAGGTAGGTTTATAAACATACTAAAAGTTTGAGTTGCATTATTAAAATATACCAAAACATTCACAATTTTTTGCATAGTGTCGATGCCAGCCAGATCTATAATATAGTTAGCATATTCTTTTAAAAAAGCAGGAAAATGGTCTTTAAATCTAATAAGTACAACAATTAAGTTATAAGTATTCCAGCGAATAGACAAATCTTTAGAAAAAACACAATATTTCACACGTCGATCCCTCAAATATTGATGCCATTGCATTTTAAGTGGATTACTAGGCCAAAAAGTCTAATTCCTCCATTCACCATCTCCACAACATCTCCTAACGCGGCTAGCCCATCTTTTACACATAAATTGAGATTATGACATGCATAACATTGATGAAAAAATATACCCATCAAAGTAGAACGACAACACCATTCACACAATCTAGGTATAGCAACAATATTATTACTAGCATTATCAAAACTGTTAAAACATTTGTCCCACACCGGAAAGTTATAAAACAATTAAACACTATATAAGATTTTGGATTACTCCTCCTTATCAGGTTGACCTTTAAGGATGGAACCCCAAGTCTTAACAAAAACTCATAACAAACACTTTATCAATCAAATTATACTCAATTAAAATACGCTCAATGAGAATATAAATGTTATCAACGGTGTGTCGGTCATTAAATTCACGAAAAGCAAGAACACCTTTATGCATTTCCCAATCATCATCAATGTAATGTGCAGTCACACTGTCACACCCAAATAATACAAAAGATGATAAGTATCCTCCTATATATCACTATAAATACTAACATGTCCATCAAAGTTTGCGAAAAACATTTGTAATCTCTCCTTTTCCTAAACATATTGTCTTCTAACTTCTTTATTAATAGTTTTGCGACTATAATTTCTAAATTGAGGATTTAAGCATTTTTAAGCAAAAGCTTTTAAAGAAAGACTTTCAGAAAAAATAAAAGACAAATTTTCTTCAACAATTATTCAGACATAGCAGTTAAATGTCTGGAATCATCATAGGAGAAATTACCATAGGGTTGACCATTTGCAAACTTCGATATTTCAGTTTGCTTCCCTTTGTCTTTTAATTTCGCATACTCCACGGGGTAACAAGAAATTACCGTATTCTTGTGAAATCCCCAAGCTAATATCTTTCTTAGAATGTTTGCAAGTTGTGTACCACTTTTTGGTTGCTGGGTCCATCCACTTTTTGTAATTATTTTTCACAAGGAGAGATTCACCTTTCTTACCGGGTTGGGATGAACCAGCCTCGTCCTCGTCGGGGGTTGTATCGTCGGGGGTTCCATGTCTACCATCGTCGAGGGTTCCGTAGTCGCCTTGATCCTCTTCGGCGTCGTCATCCTCGAGCTCTTCATCAATCTCGGGAATGTCTTGTTGTTGGTAAAACTGCTCATGCCCTTGGTTCAACAGATGACTCAGTTGCTCATCGGACATCGCATCTCTCCGGTTGTAACTCATGTCAAAATCATGTCGGTTTTGAAAAGAATAAGACCCGATATGTCCTTTACCTTTGCCTCGCGAATGAGGATGGTTCTTCCCAATCTCTTTCTTTCGGTTGCGTTGGAGGTTACACATATCTACAGAATGTCTACCTCGTTCAATCTTAAAATGTAACAAATATTAAATTCTAGCAAATATGTTAATGTGAGTACAAAAACAATGCAAGTAATAAAATATGTAAGTAATTTGTAACGATACTTTTTTTTTGAACCAATTTGTAACAATACTTAAAATGTGACTTTTATATTAAAATGTAAGTAATGTGATTATAATATAAAAATGTGACTAGTAATATTAAAGAAAAATTCCAAGTAGTTTAACAAATACTTTAATCTAACAAGTGTAGTAAATTAACTAAAATTGCAACTAGTTTAATATTTCAATCTAACAAGTGTAGTAAAATTAACTAAAATTCCAACTAGTATAATAGTTTAATTAACTAAAATTCTAACTACTTTTATATTTTAATCCAACAAGTGTAGTAAATTAACTAAAATTGCAAATAGTTTAATACTTCAATCTAACAAGTGTAGTAAAATTAACTAAATTCCAACTAGTTTAATAGTTTAATTAACTAAATTTCCAACTACTTTTATTTTTTAATCTAACAAGTGTAGTAAAATTAACTAAAATTCCAACTACTTTAATAGTTTAACTAATTAAAATTTCAACTACTTTTATATTTTAATCTAACAAGTGCAGTAAAATTAACTAAAAATGCAACTACTTTTATATTTTAATCTAACAATTTTTATATGATTAATATAAGTATGAAACAAATATGGTTTACTAATATGATATTGTGACAATTATATTAAAATCAACTAAAAATGCAAATAATTAGTATGTTACAAATGAGAATGTAACAAATATTAAAGGTGACCAAATGAGAAATGTAACAATTAACTAATATTAATGAAAAATGTAACTAATAGAAAAAATGTATGAATGTATACTAATTAATGGGAGTGAGTGTGTAAGTAATGAGATAAATTTACTAATATTAATTAAAGTGTAACTAATATATAATATAATGTTTATATTTATAATATATAATATACAACTATAAGATAAGTAGTACACTTATACTCCAATTAACAAAACCCAACATTAGTTACAACGTCCTTTTTCCGTCAAGAATCCGTCAAAAACTCTGAAACAATTTGCTAAACTCTACTCATTCCAATTAGGGATGGACCCGGGTCGGGCTTTTTTTGCAAATCCTTGGGCCCGGAACCGGCCTGGGTTGATACCGGGTCCGGGCCTAACCGGGCCCGGTTCAATGTCTAATTTTGTTTTTTTGCTTTCTTGTTATCCCCCGACCCCCCCCCCCCCTCACCCCACCCCCAAACCTCCCCAAAACACCCATCCCTACCCTAGGAAAAGAAAAAAAAATTGAAAAAAAAATTGACCCGGGCCCGGCCCGAACCGCCCGGGCCGGTTCGCCCAAAACTGGGCCCGACCCCGACCCCGACCCGCTCAAACGGGCTAAAAGCCCGGAACCGGCCAACCGGTCCCGGTCCGATCCGGGCCCGCACAGTAACGGGCCGGGCCGGGCCAGGCCGGTTTAGTCCATCCCTAATTCCAATTAACGTCTTCATTCGCCGGTCTTTTTAAACACAAACGGCAGACGCCTCTTGCCCTCTTCAACATAGCTTTTCTGTTATCAAATCGTAGAAACCGCCCATGAAGGTTATAACGCTTTATTCCAAGAGGGATCAGAGAGTTGGCTATGTTTCCACCATTTCCCATCGTCCGCACGAACTAGGTATTCTTATAACTTCATCTACTTCTTCACATGTATTTGCCTTTACGAGTCATCTATCTACACTTTTCACAAATACAAAAAACATGCGAATGAAATTCAGTTTTTATCACTGCATTCTTTATTAAAATCATGTGCAACTAAAACGACGATTTCAGAAATCCTCTAAGCCTAGGTTCACTGGTATTTACCCCTATTTGAATGCTGCTGCAGACGAACAATTTGCTGCTTCAAAAATGTCTCCTTCTTCCTACGTTTTTTAAAACAAAATTCTTGTGTCACGCCTATCAAGTGTTTGATAAAAAGTCTCAACAATAGTTCAAATGATTGTCTGCAACAATCTTTGCAAAAGTGATTACTAATTATGTAATACTTCCTTCTTACAAACACAAATTCAACTCTAGAATGCCCTAAAGAGTGTTAGTTAGGATTTACAGTTAAGAAGTAGTTCACAGGTAACAGTGATTTCAAACAGAGGATCATTGCTTAAACAAAAATACACCAATGACCAGACTGTACAGAAATCAACATTTAATTTATAGTCACCACTTAGTTTCTATTTCAGGGAATTGATCATTAAAGTCTTTCAAACAA